GCTGTTACTGTCTCACCAAGCACTGGTGTCTGTTGTTCTATCCCAGGTACTGGTGTCCGTTGTTCTATCCCAGGTACTGGTGTCCATGTTCTATCCCAGGTACTGGTGTCCGTGTTCTATCCCAGGTACTGGTGTCCATGTTCTATCCAAGGTACTAGTGTCTGTGTTCTATCCCAGGTACTGGTGTCCGTGTTCTATCCCAAGAACTGGTACACTGGGTACTGTATACCGGGTACTGTACACTGGGTACTGTATACCAGGTACTGTACACCCTGTATTGTTGTAGTGTTGTACACCAGGTACTGTATACTGGGTACTGTACACCAGGTACTGTACACCAGGTACCATACTTTAGGTACTGTATTCCGGGTACTGTACACAGGCACTGTACATTGGGTACTGTACACATGGTACTGTATACTGGGTACTGTACACCAGGTACGGTATTCTGGGTACTGTACACCAGGTACTGTATACAGGGTACTGTATACCAGGTACTGTACACCAGATACGGTATTCTGGGTATTGTACACCAGGTGCTGTATACCAGGTACTGAACACCAGGTACTGTACACCAGGTACCATACATCAGGTACTGTATACCGGGTACTGTACACAGGTACTGTACACATGCACTGTACATTGGGTACTGTACACCAGGTACTGTATACTGGGTACTGTACACGAGGTACGGTATTCTGGGTACTGTACACCAGGTACTGTATACCGGGTACTGTATACCAGGTACTGTATACCAGGTACTATATACAGGGTACTGGATACTGGGTACTGTATACCAGGTACTATATACAGGGTACTGTATACCAGATACTGTACACCATGTACTGTATACCGGATACTGTATACAGGGTACTGTACACCAGGTACTGTATACCAGGTACTATATACAGGGTACTGTATACCGGGTACTGTACACCGGGTACTGTACACCAGGTACTGTACATCAGGTACTGTATACCAGATACTGTACACCATGTACTGTATACCAGATACTGTATACCAGGTACTGGTCACCAGGTACTATATACAGGGTACTGTATCCTGGGTACTTTACACCAGGTGCTGTATACCAGGTACTGTACACCAGGTACTGTATACCGGATACTGTATACAGGGTACTGTACACCAGGTACTGTATACCAGGTACTGTACACCATGTACTGTATACCGGATACTGTATACAGGGTACTGTACACCAGGTACTGTATACCAGGTACTATATACAGGGTACTGTATACCGGGTACTGTACACCAGGTACTGTACATCAGGTACTGTATACCAGATACTGTACACCATGTACTGTATACCAGATACTGTATACCAGGTACTGTTCACCAGGTACTGTTTACCAGGTACTATATACAGGGTACTGTATCCTGGGTACTTTACACCAGGTGCTGTATACCAGGTACTGTTTACCAGGTACTATATACAGGGTACTGTATCCTGGGTACTTTTACACCAGGTACTGTATAAGGGGTACTGTACACCAGGTACTGTACACCAGGGCTGTTAGTAGAGTCCAGTAAGGGCCAACACGTGGTGTAACAAAGACAAATTTATCTAAAAACTTGTGACTATCACTTTCAGATGTTCATTTTGTCCCAGGTCTATGTTATATTCATTGAGAAATGTCTTTAAAGATATTTTAACATTGTAAGAAGTGTTTATGACAAAGTCTGAAGGCATGGTAAATATACATCCAGTCCATCATTCAGTGGGTCATGTATTGTAATCCTTTGTGGCACTGTCAGATACTGTACTGGATTACTGTCTCACACAAGCTGATCAACCCTTCTGATTAGTGAAAAACTGAGCTTGTTTCAAGTTTCATCACGATGTACAAAGTGTGGAAATACACTGTAATGTGGAAGGGGAAACATGTTACTGTATCAGCATAGGAAGTAACAGAGGGACAGATAAGCTGCGTATCTCTGTAAGTAACTCAAATATTTATGTGAAAACTCAATTCCTATTATATCTGTTCCTTAAACTTGTACGTATGATTTTTTTGTAAATACTCAATAGATTTGATCTGACATGTGTACATAAGATAAGTTAGATATATTGAGAGGTTATATTTCAGCACATGAACTTGGCAACTTGCAGTCGTTTCTCATATTACAGATCAAATATAAATAACAAGCATGTAAACCAACATTTAAAATCTATTACATTTGTACAATTAATGGAAAAGGTCAGCATCTCTACAAATCATGTTGTAGCCAAGGTACATATGAGGACAGCATCCCTACCAATCATGTTGTATCCTAGGTACATATGAGGACAGTGTCTCTACCAATCATGTTGTAGCTCAGGTATATATGAGGACAGTGTCTCCACCACTCATGTTGTAGCTCAGGTACATATGAGGACAGTGTCTCTACCAATCATGTTGTAGCCTAGGTACGTATGAGGACAGTGTCTCTACCAATCATGTTGTAGCCTATGTACGCATGAGGACAGTGTCTCTACCAATCGTGTTGTATCCTAGGTACGTATGAGGACAGTGTCCCTACCAGTCATGTTGTAGCCTAGGTACGTATAAGGACAGTGTCCCTCCCAGTCATGTTGTAGCCTAGGTACATATGGGGACAGTGTCTCTACCAATCATGTTGTATCCTAGGTACGTATGAGGACAGTGTCCTTACCAGTCATGTTCTAGCCTAGGTACGTATGAGGACAGTGTCTCTACCAGTCATGTTGTAGCCTAGATACATATGAGGACAGTGTCTCTACCAATCATGTTGTATCCTAGGTACGTATGAGGACAGTGTCCCTACCAGTCATGTTGTATCCTAGGTACATATGAGGACAGTGTCTCTACCAATCATGTTGTAGCCTATGTACGTATGAGGACAGTGTCTCTACCAATCGTGTTGTATCCTAGGTACGTATGAGGACAGTGTCCCTACCAGTCATGTTGTAGCCTAGGTATGTATGAGGACAGTGTCCCTCCCAGTCATGTTGTAGCCTAGGTACATATGGGGACAGTGTCTCTACCAATCATGTTGTATCTTAGGTATGTATGAGGACAGTGTCCTTACCAGTCATGTTGTAGCCTAGGTACATATGAGGACACACAGTGTCTCTACCAATCATGTTGTATCTTAGGTATGTATGAGGATAGTGTCTCTACCAGTCATGTTGTAGCCTAGGTACGTATGAGGACAGTGTCTCTACCAATCATGTTGTAGCCTAGGTACGTATGAGGACAGCATCCCTACCACTCATGTTGTAGCTCAGGTACATATGAGGACAGTGTCTCTACCAATCATGTTGTATCCTAGGTACATATGAGGACAGTGTCTCTACCAGTCATTTTTTAGCCCAGGTGCATATGAGGACAGTGTCCCTACCAATCATGTTGTATCTGAGGTACTTATGAGGACAGTGTCTCTACCAATCATGTTGTAACCCAGGTACATATGAGGACAGTGTCCCTACCAATCATGTTGTAACCCAGGTACATATGAGGACAGTGTCTCTACCAATCGTGTTGTATCCGAGGTACTTATGAGGACAGTGTCTCTACCAATCATGTTGTATCCTAGGTACATATGAGGACAGTGTCTCTACCAATCATGTTGTAACCCAGGTACATATGAGGACAGTGTCTCTACCAATCATGTTGTAACCCAGGCACATATGAGGACAGTGTCTCTACCAATGGTGTTGTAGTTCCAATGGGAACTTTTCTATGACAAGAGTCAGTCATCATATCACTTGACATACTGTAATGAAGATGTTTGTACTGGAGCTGCTGCTCTTAGCCGATATGTTTCGGAGTACTTGGAATAGGGTTCTGGCAAGGCAAAATCAAGCAACCCAAGACTTAAATCTTCGCAAAATGTGATGGACGACAAGCTAGGCAGTAATACCTTGACCAGATTTACAGTTGTGGTAGGTCCATGCATCTCAGCAACCATCCCTCCAAGGGTATAATTACAGTGTTTGGGGTAGTCAGCTATAGCAAGCTGAAATAACAGTATACAAACTGCACACTTGAAGGTATATGTCACATGTTCTTGTGTTCAGCATTGTTTTACTGAAATCAATAAGTGATCAATAGTCTGGTAAAGAATATGATGAAAGTATGTGACATTATATCCGTACATGTAAGTATGTCCCTAGAGCAAGGGATTACAGCCATATTAAAATGAAACACAGAACACCTGACATTTCGTTGTTCTTCAATCCATGAAGAAACATAATATCCTATGTCATAAATTGTACATTGAAATAGCAGAGGAAATAAGTTTGGAGACATTTTATCAATACCTGCTGGCAAACAGGACCATCGACATACCAGGTATCCATTCCCAGGTTCTGATGATGCACACAGACTGGACTCCACAGTAGACCACTCATCTGTGAAGTATGTCACAAATACAACTGATTAATGCACACATGCTGGTTGTTTGTAAACGCTAATAGAGGATTCCAGCCGTGATAAGTTGTGGTGTAATTGTTTTGTGGGTAATATACACTTATGAAACCCAGCAGTGAGATGACTTTGTTACACAGAGCCAAGTGAGCCCTGCCAACACGTAGAGGACTGAATGCTTTCGATGTTTGCCTGTCTGCCTGTCTGCCCTGTTGTATCATCATACCCTTCAGGCAAGGGTCAGTGCTGGACACAAGTCAGGCATCTAACACGGTTGACATGCAGTTTTTTAAAATCACAAGTATATTATCCCCTCTGTTGTATCACTGATTATGTCCCCCCATAGGTATTAGGAACATTGTGGCTGGCATGAGGAGGAAATCCATAACTCCTCATAGTTCAGAAGCTATTGTTTATATACTTCAAATAGTTCACTGTTATTTCACTAATTGAATGTTGATATTTTAAGTGTTCTTCCATCCTGAGTCTAAGTTTAGATAAAAGTCAATACCATATATTCTGGGGCTAATCAGCTTCCCGATCCCATGCATGCCCAAACAACCTTGTTCACATCATTTCCGCTTGTTTCAGAACTGCAGTGGATGTGAGTGTACCTCAACAAGGCAGGACATAATCTGTGAGGTAAGTGAGATGTTTACAGCACATTGATCAGCATCAATAATTTACACATGAAATTAGCAGCACAGAAAAAGATTAAGTAAGGCAGTTTAGCCAAAAGGTTTGCCGATTTCATCTGATTGACAGACCTTTGTTTTCCTTGCAGCCCTGTCATACAGGTACCTGTAATATCTGTGATTATACCACTTAACCATTTCTGATTAGATGAGGTGGGACAGGTGTCTCATGCCTTAAATATGTGGAACTGATTGGAGATATTACACCATCAGCAATCCCAGCTGTGTTAACCTGTAACAGACAACTGAAATGTTGTTTTGATTAAACATGTTTTTTGCCCTTAGTCTGTGTTGTATGAAGGAGTTTGAGATAATGGTCAAGTTTGTGCCATGTACTACAGGTTTCATAGCAGGTCCTGTAATGGAAGTCTAAGCCATGTTATTCAAGTCTCATGTTATGTAGAAAGCTGTTTTTTGTGAAGATTCCTGTGAAGATTGAAAACCGCTGATGGTCAGACATGATCTGCATCTAGTAGGTAGAGTTGCTGATGTCCAACCTTATTGTTTCTGGTTGGTCAGACATGATCTGCAGCTGGAAGGTAGAGTTGCTGATGTCCAACCTTAATGTTTCTGGTTGGTCAGACATGATCGGCAGCTGGAAGGTAGAGTTGCTGATGTCCAACCTTATTGTTTCTGGTTGGTCAGACATGATCGGCAGCTGGAAGGTAGAGTTGCTGATGTCCAACCCTATTGTTTCTGGTTGGTCAGACATGATCGGCAGCTGGAAGGTAGAGTTGCTGATGTCCAACCTTATTGTTTCGAGTCCACCTTCACTGTCATCGAGCTATGAAAGATATGTTTGTGGATTGTTTATATATTCGTAACATTTTAAAAAGAATGAACAAACCTTGCAATCCTATATTTTGTTTACATAAGAGCAAGACATTATGTTCATCTTCTGTATATGTCAGTTTACATATATTCCATATCCTTCACTCATTGTTTCTCCGATATACCTGCCAGTTTCTTAATGTGACTGAGCAAGGGCACAAATGCACCGACATGTATATACATATGCTTAGCCCTAAATGCTGGCATGTTACAGGCGTTACCTTCCATGTTTAAAAGCATGTTATAACATTTCTTCACATAAAGATTATTTATATAACAATTTCAGCATCCAGTATTTAACAGACATAGTAAGATATATATAAACACATCTGCTGACACGGCCTGACACAGTGGCTGTTGTGCCTTAACTTCTGCTCCTAGATATACAGCCTTCTTACAATATACAATCTCCAGGTTGCCCCACTGAGGAATAAAATAGAACAACTTTGGTATAAAAAATCTCAAAGAACTAGTCAAAAGGTAACCGTTAAACATTGATATTGATAAGAACCTAGTAAAAGTACTTGTCTCAAAGTGCTCGTCCATACTGATAACCTACTGAAATAAACCATGGTGGTATTATTAATATATTTGTATATCATCTGGAATCAGTTTTCCTATACTATCTTCCACCATTATTAATACCTTTTACTTTTGTTTTTTCCATATTTTCTATCAAATAATTTCATCAAAACAAGAGTCCAGATCAAGTTTCTTCTTCTGCATGCTCAGGATAAATATGCTACACACTTTGATTTCCTATACTTCTCTGTTGTTTGTAAGAACAATATTTAGTCTCATATTCAGAACATCCATGAACAACTTACTGAAGCTACACATAATGGATAAACCTGTGTAAATGCTTGCTGTGTGGGGAACCCTCTGAAGCCCATACACAGCAATTCTGGAGACATGATCGATAAATCAAAACATTGATATAAGGAACCCCAAAACATCACCCTGCAACCGAATCACATTTTCTATTAATGATATTTAGATTTAGCTATTGAATGAGTCATGAATTCCTGTATCTGTTCATGAGAATGTCATGCATATGTCATGTAGAATAATGAGTGTCATGTACATATGAACAAGCTTATATGAAGTAATGATTCCTACACAGAGGGCTTGTACTGTGAGGAACCATCTGGTCGTACGTAAACTCAAACACAAAGTGTCTCCTTATTTGTACAAAACATGGATCAAACAATATGCAGATTATACTGTCAGTACAGTTATAAACCAGATGAACTTTTGTTTAGTTTTCCTTACTAAAAGGAGAATGGTTCCTAGTCTCCCTGCTCTGTATACTTTCATTGCTGGTACATTTTAAACTCAGCTGCTTAGGGAAAAAAGTCTTCAAGAGAAGTATAAAAGATTCAGCATCATCAACACATCGCTTGCTTGAATGATGTTGCACTCCACCCAACACTTGTTGTGATGCTGTGTTCCAAGGCGAAACACATCTATCTGTAGGTTCTGGAATTCTCATGTCACATTTTCAAATGTAGTTACTTGTTTCTTTCATACACACATATATACAGTAGAACATGGATATAGCGAACACGGATATAGCGTACAAACGGATATAGCGAACAAATTTAAAAGTCCCATCAACAGTCCTTTATAATATCATTGAAATTATACGCGAATAACGAACTCGTGAGTAGCGAATTAACGGCTATAGCGAACTGATTTACTACCCCCAAGACCCAATTAAGGACGTGATTAGCGAACTCACTCAGTGTCAGCACAGCCACTTAGCGGTACAGTATACATCAATCTTGTTGGCGGTGAATCAACATTGATTGATGGTCATTAATTAATTAACAAAACAAACATATCGTGTTTAACCCATTCAACAACCTTGCATTTTCATTAAAAAATAAAATAAATTTATTTAAGTTGTAGTTGTATTATTTCAATTTTATTATAAAAATAAACTTCATATTTATCAACATGATATAGGTAATGTCTGTGAATGTCCTCATCTCTACAATCCAAGATGGCGGTCAAATGTGAATAACGAACAACGGATATAGCAAACTAAATTTCTTGGTCCCTTGGAGTTCGTTATATCCGTGTTCTACTGTATATGTATACCATTAGCCTGCCTGGACTATACTATTAGTCTACCTTTAAGGCAACCCTCACTGTTTCACCAATCTCGGCCTGGTAATTCTGGTCCTCCCTGGACCAGTGGTTGACCCGAACCAATTCTGTGAGGGATGAATGTCAAGAATAGACACTTAATACTCTCTTTCTCTTATGGATAATGACAAGAGATCTCCCGTGTGTACCCTGACTAGGCCAGGGGCTGGATAACACAGTCACCACTCTATCCTGGTCTTACAAGTACAGGATGATCACATACATCTGTAGTAGAAGGTGTCCACACACATCTGTAGTACTGGGTGTCCACATACATGTGTACTACAGGGTGTCCACATACATCTGTAGTAATGGGTGTCCACAAATATCTGTTGTACAGGGTGTCTACATAATCTGTACTACAGGGTGTCTACATACATCTGTAGTACAAGGTGTCCACACACATCTGTAGTACTGGGTGTCCACATACATGTGTACTACAGGGTGTCCACATACATCTGTAGTACTGGGTGTCCACAAATATCTGTTGTACAGGGTGTCCACATAATCTGTACTACAGGGTGTCTACATACATTTGTAGTACAAGGTGTCCACACACATCTGTAGTACTGGGTGTCCACAAATATCTGTTGTACAGGGTGTCCACATACATCTGTACTACAGGTTGTCCACATACATATGTACTACAGGGTGTCCACATACAACTGTAGCACTGGGTGTCCATATACATCTGTGTACTGGTGTCCTCTTACATCTGTAGTACAGGGTGTCCACTTACATCTGTAGTACAGGGTGTCCACATATATCTGTAGTACTGGGTGTCCACTTACATCTGTAGTGCAGGGTGTTAGACAGTCAGTCTTGTTTGTATGTTTCTCAGGGAAGAATCTCAGTGGTGTATGTCTGGGCCATAGTAACAAGTTATGAATTCTTGTACAAACATGTACAGTATCAAATCCATGTCAGATTCAGTATATAAGGGTAATTTCGAACACCAATGTTTGAAGTGCATGTTTCCATGCATGCCATACGAGTAGACATAGCCCCTCCCTTTCCCTCTAAACACCTGTATGATATTGGACTCTGAATGTGCCAGCTAGACTATGTATTGATTGTTGCAATGTGCTTTCCGACACAAATTCATTACATTGTCAGCTTCTACAGCTATCCATATCCAAATCATTCAGCTAACTTGCACAATGACAGAATACTTGACTATGCCTTCGATTACTGAGATTACTTTATCAATAACATGCCACACAATTTCCATGTAACAAACCACCTGCCTTCCCAGGTTCAGGGACAGCTCATTACAGTGCTACCTTGTTGTAGCAGATGGAAGAACAATGATGGCTGAGAACCTCCTTGTCAGTCTTCATACACCCATACCTGGGGCAGTCTGAAACAAACAACAGCCAACATCAGTCCTCAGTATCAAAACTGAAAGGTGGTATCACTTTGTGTGATTGGTACTGTATCAGTCCATAAATCATGTTTGTTCAGAAGGGTTGTCATCAATCTGCACAGAGATATGATGGACGCAGAACAAAGTTACCACAGTTGACTGGTACTATGTAATACAAGACTGAGGCTTGATAATGTGGAAACAGATGGCTTGTTGAAGGTACTTGTAGATAGGTATCCCAGTGAATAGTACACATTCACTGCTTTGACAGAGTCAGTATTATGTTAACTAAAATAGAAATTGTTGAACCACTTTAAGACAACAGAATACACCTACTACTGATGTTTTTGGAGTAATGAGGTACATGGTCCGTGTGAACTGTTGATGGTATGTGTTTTTGTAGATAACAGCCTTGTTAGACTACCTGTAGCCGCTACTGTATTGGGAGGAAGTAGCTGAGTCCCCTTGTGCCGTAGCCTGGGTATCAGGTGCTACAGGTGCACTCTCTCCCCTCAACCATCTGTCCCAGACGCACTCCACCATGCAGGAACACGACAATGTAAATAACTTAATTAATCCAGCATAAACTAGAAAATAAT